AGGTGTTGAGCATAGACTCGGAATTGAGGACGCGGGAGAGGCCATAGCGCTTGATATCTGTGAAGCAAGTTAGTAAGATTGGTAGGGGATAGAATGGAGGCCAAGACGAACCTGCTGGCACGAGCAATTGCGTCCGGCCTTCTGGTAATTGAAGATCTGGCGATGTCGTTGTGAAGTTGACTCGGATTTGCTGGGGTTCGGCCGCGCCCGGCTCGCCCATAGTGATATCCATAGTGTTTATATGACCAACGAATGCCCGATTGAACCGAAAAATCTAAAATATTCGAAAATATTCGAATTTGGGCGGAATGCGGACGTTATACCGGAAAATTGTCGATCTTTCAATGCTAAATCTTCAGCGTGCAAGTTGATGTTGCTTCTGGAACCTTTTTTTTTTTCTTATCGCAGTTATCGTTTAACTACAGGTTATCGATAGATTTGGGGGAAATTTTCCCATTTAGCCCTCCCAGCCTTCTAACGGTTAGGTATCAAACCTAGCTAGGTACCATCAGCCTTACCCCGCGATGCAGGGATATAAGCCAATCAGAACCTTCATAATCCTGAGCTGTTATAAGCCGCTAAAGCCACAAATTTAAGACCCTTTAATGCAAGCCACAGTCAATTTACGCCAAAACGCGTCTTCATTCGATGGACGCGTCTTTCTGTGCACTTTTTCTAGAAACACTATTCTCACCATTCCTATGTTGAGGATGTTAATCGTTAAATATTTACGATGACTGAGATAGATGGTATACCCGGAAACTTGCTCCGGAAGCCTTCGTAAGTCTATATTTACCATTCAATTGAACTCGATTGCAGACTTAACAATTCAATTCAATTCACAGGGGCGAGACCGGGCATGAGCTCGAGAGAGCTTCTTCCCAATACAAGCCGCTACACTCCTTTAGGCTTGATAAGGAGAAACCGTATCAGCAACAATTTGCGGATATGTATTTCTTGCGGCTTACCAAGATCAAGCCTGCTGTCGAGGTGTTAGCATCTGCAGCGTGGGATGGCAAGCTTATCGGTAACGAGCCCGTGAAGATGGCTGAACGGGTACTGGATATTCGACAAGGCGAATTATGTTGGGTTACGGGTACTGTCTACATGGACATGCCTCTAAAGCCTAATATTCTGGAAGACGTCTCTAAAGATGTACGTGGTCAAGATACTAATTTTACTGATTTTATGAACATCCATCTAACTCCCCTTAGCGATGGCTCTCAGCGCCCATCTCGAATAAAAAGTACTACTCGGAAGACGGTTCGGACGCCGTCACGCTAGAAGACGAATCTGGTCGTATACGACTTGTCGGTGACGTATTAAACTCGGTGCTCCTAGTAACCGGGTGTATCATCGCCGTCATGGGCACCGAAAATGCCAACGGCGAGCTTGAGGTCATCGACCTGAAATTCCCAGATCTACCTCCTCAACCAGATCGCTGGGCACTAACCAAAGCCCCCCAAGAGACCCAAAAGGAAGAAGCCAAGGCCGAAGATGAAGAAATGACGATGAATATTGGGTCAGAAAGTAACGGCAAAAAAATTGCCATCGTATCCGGCCTAGGCTTCTCCGGTACTGACGCTTCTCACTCTATCGAACTAAACCTCCTCCTCGAATTCCTCCTCGGCGAATCCCTCGATCCCTCCGCGCAGCAAGAACTATCGCAGATAAGCCGGCTCATCATCGCCGGCAACTCCATCTCCCTCGAAGAGCGCCGCGCCGACGCCAACGAGGACCTGACCGAGAAAAAGGCGCAAAAGAAATACGGCTACGACAGCAGCGCGTACAATGCCCTACCTTCCCAACTCCTCGACGAATTCTTATCCACCCTCCTCCCTTCTATCCCGGTAACTCTGCTCCCTGGGGCTCAGGACCCGGCCAACGCGAGTTTCCCCCAGCAGCCGATCCATCCGGCTATGTTCCCGCAGTCGCGGCCGTATACGGCGCCGCCTAGTGCTACGGACGCCGATCCCGGTTGGTTCGACACCGTGACGAATCCCTGGGAGGCGGAGATTGAAGGGTGGAGGGTCTTAGGGACGGGAGGACAGAATATTGACGACATATTTAAGTATATTGATAGTAACGATAGGCTTGGTATGATGGAGGCGACGTGTCGGTGGAGGTGTTGCGCGCCCACCGCGCCTGATACGTTATGTAAGTTTGTCAACTTTCCACGCCAATGCTCTTCCCGTCGTACTAACTAACCACCCTTTACATATAGGGAGTTATCCTTTTCAAGATGATGACCCTTTCGTCATGCAGACATGTCCGCACTTATATTTCGCCGGCTGCCAGCCCGAGTTCGGTACTAAAGTCATAGAAGGCCCCGAGGGCCAAACCGTGCGGCTCATCGCCGTCCCCGCCTTCTCGGAGACTCAGGAGGTAGTACTAGTAGACACCGAGACCTTAGGTGTCACGAGGGTTAAGATTGCCGCAGTTTAGGAAGACTGCGGCTTAAATACGAAGACAGGGATGCAGGGGTGGTGTCGTAGGACTTGAGGCGATTCGAAAACAATGTAACTCCCGCCAGCAATATCCATATTTACCCTTGTACAAAATTACTACCTAGAGATGGAAGCGGGAAACCCACGAGCATCGATGAGCCGGTATTAACGACTAATTACCATATGATCGCGTGGCTACAGGCGAAGGGAGGATTTAAATGAAGCAAGAATTAATTAAACTCAGCGCGAGCTATAAAACGTAAAGTCTGCTAAAAGACGATATCTATTACCTAGGCCTGAATGGCTACATGAAGTCATCGTACGAATTCAACGTATACAAGTCTGCAATGCAATGCAATGCAATGTGTGAGCTATACGCAAGGTACGAGCTACTGAACGCAAATGCAACCAGTCCAATACATCCGAAGTCCTCTTGGAATCACTCAATCCATCTCAGCCTCCCTATTTGCCATCATGTCAAACACCCTTAGTTCCCTTCGATTTCCGAATCTTCGTCATCGGCGATCATCCTATTCAACCGCTCCAACGTATATTCATTGCTCAAAATTGGATTCGGGGACGGCTCGGGCTCGTTAGGGTCACTCCAGTCATCCGGCAGCGACTCCATATCCGAAGAATCTCGAACTCGCGTTCTTTCCTCCTTTCCTAGGAACTTCCAGTGTGCGAAATTCGTATCGTTTCTCTCCTCTGCGGGGACGATCGCTAGCATTTCAATCGCCGATTTGAGCATGTACAGCCGCGATTTCGCAATCCTAACCTTTTCTTCGAAGGAGAGTTCGGCGCCTTTGGCATCTTTGACCTGGTTCTTGTTCTTATCCTCCTGAATCTGTTTGTGCGTGTAGTAGTATCGAAGATCGATTACGTGCTCGTACAAATTCGACTCGCAGTCTGTGGCTAAGACACGGAGGTATTGCAGGTTAAGAAGCATCAGCGACTTTCTAGTATCAGTAAAGTGCGTGAACAGCCTAGAGGCAGGTATCTCATCGGCGTCACCCTGTTGCCCTCGGAAACCCATGTCTTTCACCTTGACTGCCGGTATCTTGAGCGTCAACGTGTGAAGACGTGCTGGCTCAGCTAGGCCCTGACCAGGAACGAACTTTCGAATTGCATTGCAAAAATTGGTGACGTTCACAGTATTTAGTCGGTTCAGAGGGACGTTGATCTTGATATGGCGCAACAAGTGGCCGTATTTCTGGAAGGGTATCTTGTCGTGGGAAAATACTTGCCCCATGATCATTTCCGTTGCCTCTAAATGATCATGGGGATCGCGAATATCGTAGAGGAACGTGTTCTCGCCGAACAGAATACGGATCCCTTCTAGCCATAGGATACGGCAGGTATAGAGGATCCCGAGATCTAGTCTAGGTCCTCTGCGCGAGTAGACACGTGTCCAGCCCCTAAACACCGCAATTTCCTTGGGGGAAACCAGCATATATCTCATGATTTCTTCGCGAATTTCAGCAGGGAAGCGGCCAAAGGTACCCATCGACTTGAATGGGTCCTTAGAGACTTTTAGACCAGGATTAGGGGAAGGTGGCTGCTCGAGGGATTTGTCCTTCTCCCAAGGAAAGAGACGCGAGACCTTCTTCACCTCCCCATTTTTCAGGATTCTAGGACGCTTGCTTCGACTGCGGTCGTCGTAGGCTGCGTTGGCCAAACGCTTTCGATTTGGACGTTGCGTCATGTGCAATATTAATGCGTCACCGCCGGGGTGTATGGGTAGTTCAACCAGTTCAGCTTCCCGGCGGAGTTTACGCTCTTTCTGTGCACGAGCGGCCTCCTTTTCTGCAGTTTTCTGAGCTCGTTTTTCCGCAGCAGTAGGCCCGGCTCGTGCGCGGCCAACACGGCCAAAAGCACCTGGCTTTTTTGGAGGCATGCTTTTAGGAGTTGAGATTAGCGTATGATTTGAAGAAAATAAGGTGTTGTGATTTGCGTGTATTAATATCGATACCGGTGTGTACCGGATGCTTTGGATTAGTCGACGTGAGAGGACGAAGAGGGAAGTCACGATTCCACGAATGGTATGAGAATAGTTTAAGAGAATGCCGAGTATAGGGGAGCCACGAGGAGCAGCGTAATGTGTACACTTGAAGAATAACCTTGAACGTGATATTGTAAGAGAGTGCTAAGTCGTGTCACATAAAGAACGTGGTGAATGGCAAGGCAATCTACCTATTCAGTAACGAATAGACCAAGCTGTTGGTGCGTGATCATAGGCAGACGAAAGAATCCTAATCCCTCGAGAGATGAACACGACGCATCGGCCTCAGCGAGGATAGGACGCTGAGGCCAAAGCAGGAAGCTTTTGCAGGACTTGAGAATCGCAGATTTGGGTAGAGGTGGGAACGAAAGAAGAATGGCAGGGTGTGGAAGGGGAAAGAGAAAATATCTATGTTAGGCACGAGACAACAACCATGGCAACAACTACGGTAACGCACTTCAAGGGGGTTACGGTTGTTGGTTGTCAGGTAGCAATCGTCATCATCGTCGTGATTACTTAAATACCGTCAAAACCTATGCCGGGTAAAATGAATCCGCGTGGTGCAGTGGTTAGCATGGTGCTCTTATACTTTCTCGTATTGAGATATGCATAGGTCGTGGGTTCAATCCCCACCGTGGATATTCATTTTTTTTGGCCTAGGCAGCCATCTAGTTTTTCATGTCTTCGAGATATCAAAGAGGCTGTCGTTATCATTCAGGACAAGTAATGGGATCAAGGCAAAGCCTCTTTGAATAAATTACGTATCTACTTGTGTATTTCTCTGGGTTAAATCTTGAACTATTACGTACATGTATTTTTTGGCGTTGGCTTTCTTGGCTCTGTTATTCCTTATTCCTGCAACGAAGCATACCACCAAGTATTATTCTATCGTAGCCATATGTTTTATATGTAGGTAGTGCTTTATTTTCTCTCCCCGATAACGATACCAGAGTCCTGTCTTCTCTATGTCCTCTTTATTTGCTCCCATAGCTGAGTACCTATGTTTGTCCTAGAAAATGCTATCTGATTTGAATAATTTCATGAACCACCATGCACTTATTCCTATAGGGCTCTGATTCCTCCAACAGCTAACTCCAAACACAAGACATAACCAAGTTAACTACCCAACCTCCAAAACCTAACCAGAAAAATTAAATATTGTTCATGTAAAATGAGATGCCAATATAATCTGTTTCACCTTCTATACTTACTAACAACATGTTCTTTGAAGCCGACAGGTATTGGGCAATATGATCGACGTCGCTCAACTCATCCCAGTACCTATTCATCTATAATCTTATTAGAATATCTTGACCGGACTTTTTATAAAATACCTAATCGTAAAGGCAATGGCGATACTATACCTGATTCCCCCTTCTAATCCGATAAAAGCTTTGCTGGTATTTTCCACATGCCTTAGTTTCCCTTTTAGGGAAATTTAGCTTGTTACGATTCGGAATCGTGGGCAGTTTTATTTAGTAATAGCAGAAGATTAATAGAATTAATAAAATAAGCTTCCAGAAAAGGCTTCAACTTAAGCAAGGGTACTTGGGTCGTTTTCCGGCGATTGGCGGTACTTAGGTACTTATGAGGTGCATGACTTGTCTGCTTGTGCAGCGACGATGAACAAGCAGGACAAGCAGATGAACAAGGTTGGTGGGGTAGAGCTAATAGGACAGCGTCAAGGATCTGCCGATAAGATAGCTGCACCTTCGAACTTTTTTCTTTTCTTTTCTTTTGAACATTCATTGCGCGAAGCTTCTCATTCGAGATTCAATTGGTCCAAACTTATTTAAACTCTCTTTCCCTTATGATATTTCCCTATGTTTACAATATCCCGTCGCATTTCCCTTCTGTCTAGGCAATTCCTCTCCTTTCGGGGCAGACCCTATAGCGCCGCCTTCTATACCGTCGATTTGGCCAAGGAACGAGCTGCAAATGCCCAGAAAAAGGCTGAAAAGCCCGAGAAGAAGATCTCAACAGAAAAAGTAAAGAAGAGCAAGGCAGAGGGGAACTTGACGTATGAAAATAAATCAAAGGATGCCGAAGATGAGTCTAGTGGGCTAGAAGATACCTCTGCGCTAGCTGAGGAACCTGTAAGTGCTTCTGTCTCATAAGACTTGCGCATCTCCAAGACTTAGAATTAAATTCTAGTTGGTCGAGGACGAGCTAGAGGTCACACTTAAGAAGGAGAAGAAGGAGAAGAAGGAAATGAAAGAGAAGACAGAGGAACAATTTGAAAAGAAGTTAAACAAGAAGGCTCTCCTCGAAGAAATCATAAGACGAGATGAGGAAGAAGACGCCCCTTTCTTTGCGATTGGCACCAACCCTACACCTGTCAACCTGTCAACCATCCCGCAAAACGACGCCGCCGCAACGAGCGAAGGCACCAACGAGGCCCACAACGGCAATGGCCTCTCCCAAACCGAGCCCCCCTCGGGCGTAAACCGAAAAATCCGCAGACGGTTGCGCCTGATCGAAGAGCAGCGCGAAAAGATCCGAAATCTGATGGAGGAGAATGCATCCGAGGAACAGGTCCAGGCCAAGCTAGACAAATGGGTCAAGCAGTGGGACGAGAAAAGCGCGGCGCGCGAACAGAGGAAGGAGGAGCGCAAGGAGCAGGAACGCGCGCGCATCCGCAGCAAGAAGGGTAAGCTTTTAACTGGTCGCCGCCTCAGGGAGCGCAAGAAGCAAATTGAGTCCGTGGAGAAGAAGAGGAAGAAGATGGCTTCCAAGTGGCAGGGCATGTCGGCGCAGGATCTGGCGTGATCGATAGGTTCTCTGCCGAATTTAAGTTTTATTACTAAGTACGCTTGTAGGGCTGCATTTCTACCGTCTCTGGATGCCCAAGGTTTCTAATAAGAGTTAAGGCGGCGGCTGCGTCAAAAGATTCGTCTTATTTGTCTCTGTACAGCTTTGCTGCAGTTGCCATATATAATGGTTCGTGTATGACTTCTCGAGGAATGATGATGGTGCGGCTATGAGCGGATCCCGAAGAGCTGAGAAAGTTCTATTTCAGACCCTAGTTTTAACAGAGATGCGTCGTGCCTATTAGCCCTCGTTTTTATATTACCTACATCCTCGTGAATACCGTGATAACTCCAGTCTACTATGCGACCTCACCCATCCCCCGCCCCGACATACGCAGATCTCGTAACGTATTGTACAGTTCGTAGCCTTCTTCCAAGTCTAAGAGTGCGCTTACGGCCCAATTAAGGTTTCTTCGTCTCGTTTTCCTTGTCCTTCTCCCCGCCGTCCTTCTTCCCTTGATTCCACACCTCGGAAACTTGATCCACGATCAAGCTCCAATACCCGCCGCCGCCCTCGCTCAGCGCCTCCTTCTCTCTTTGATCCCTCTTCGCCTTCCAATCCTCGCCGCTATCCCCCATCCACACCTTCTCCAACAACCCCTTCTCCTTCCCCCCCTCCCCCTGCCCAGCTTTCCGCCTATGTTCCTCCAACAACGTCCTCTGGTCCTCCGTCAGCCCGTCCTGCGCTTGCGCCTGTGCCTGCGCGGCTCTGCGCGCGCGCTCGGCCCGTATCCGCGCCTGGGTCTCCTTGGCCTTTTCCGGGAGCTCGGCGCCCGACATTGCGCCTAGCCGCTGCGTGGCGCGCCGCAGGGTCGAGGTCCCGCTGTAGTCGGCTACGAGCTGGTTCGTGCCCCAGATGGCGACGCCACCGAGGATGGCGGCGCGCAGATCGAGGCGCCGCGGGGGCAGGAATAGCGCGATGAGCGCGACGGGGGTTACGCCGAGGGCGACGTTGTGGACGAAGGGGTTGGTGGGGGGAGCAGCGGGGGAGGAAGGAGGGGGTTGTGGTGGCGCTGCCGATTGGGGCTGGGATGGAGATGGAGATGGAGACGGCGAGGACGATGCCATTGGAATGGACGGGAGAAATACGGGGTTGGTGGTGGCGATTGGTTATGTGTTAGGTTTTCGAGGTGAAGTGGGATGCGCGCGGGACGGGACGAGGAGGGGGGTTCTTGCGATTGAGATGCTTGTTGAAGGGTTTCGGGAACGGATTGTTGATACGATATAGCTGAGTGGCCAATTAAATTTGGATGCCTTGCCGCTTTTCAAAGTCTCAGATAAGTATGTATGTTTCTGCCTTCGGTGAGTCTTGCTAGGTTTCCGACGGAGCTTTGGAACGAATCGGACTTTGAATTCTATGAGCTCAACTTTTTTTTTTTGCAGGGGTTATTGCTATCTTTGTTGCTTCCACTATCTAATCGGGGCTAGGGGTACCGGTTGATAGGTACCTACGGACCATCCTGGAAGATGCCGAGACCCGTTTGTTCTGCGGCTTATAATTGGCCTGTGAAGATAAAGCAAGTCTAAGTTGTCTTGTATATTCTACGTATTCGCTACTTACATCCGTGGATATCGCGGTATATGTAAGTAAATATTAAGTTGAATCGCCGAAATACGATGAGACACAGCATTTATCAACCGAGACAAAATATGAAGAATCCGGCGTGATCGATAAGCAAAGAGCCGCATTCTATTGTCGTATATAGTTATATCGTCTGTAGCTATCTTCCCAATCGAGTTGGACCAACATGCATCTAATGCCGTACAACAGCATCAATCACTTTCCTTACGAGTAGGTAGGCTAGTTACGAGGGTTTCCTAAAGGTCCTTTTAACTTATTCTGGTCGAATCATAATGGGGCTCACAATCTAAATTATCCGCGTGTTCTCTTACCTATTCCGTCTAGAGCATGACAATGCTCTCGAGCAAATAATGGCCAACTCCTAGCACAGCCACGATATCTAATACGTCAATCGACCGAGTGTAGAGAAAGATAAAATCGTTGTGGAGGTGGCTCGTGAGCAATTAGGTACCATTTATCGCAAGGCAGATTTTATTGTGAAATGGTGGGCGCCAATGACGACCAATGCCTGTCTTTGACGTAGGTATATCACTTTTGTTTATCGAAGCAGAAAGTTTCACATCAATGTCAAAACCAAGGGCCGCATTGCGGATCCCGCTTTAGGGAAATTTTCGGGCATGTCCGGAGGCTGCTGCGCCTTGCTAGCGGTGTTTTTGATCTTTCCATCTACCGACTCTTCGGTAGCCCACCGACCGTTAACTTCCGCGGGTAAAGTGCGCAAAAAGTCGGTCACCACTAGTTGGCCAAGAGGGGGAAAAAGCGGGTATTCCCCCCTATATGGGATCGCGTGGCTACACGGAAGCTTGAAAAATCCCACTTAGTGAAAAGGTAAAGAGGCTGAGCCAAAACAACTCAACATATCCCAATACTTCATTTTCTCCCTTATATCGGTCTCGGATCGATGTGCGACGTATCCAAGTAACGTGATCCACCCAACGACATCATTTTACATTAGATACCTCCTAACCATCTTTGTTGATACTGTTCCTGTTCCGAACCTGTCTGATTGCTCTTAGGTAGGTACTTACCTAGGTACGTAAACATACGAAACACAGTTTCGCTATCCGGGGTTTGGCTGCGATCGCCGAACTAGCTGGACTCTAGGCGGGGGCTTTGTTACTCCGACGTGCTATGCGTCGCTGCTTGTCGGTCGGTGTTACGAATTCTCGGTTTGCTGGTCTTGAAATCGGGGGCAAACCAAGCATTGGGCCTTGCCGCAATCTAGACTCTAGTACCATCTAGCGCTACC